TTTTTTTTTTTTTTTTGTAACACTCACTAATCAGAGAGTTGAAAAATTAATCTAATGGCTATTTACAGTGAAAATTCCCTAAAGAATAAATGTGGTTTTTACTATTTTCATAGGCAAACTACGAACTATATTGAATCATAGCAAATCAATTGTCACTAATTGTCAGATATAACTTTTCGTAGCTCTTCTTTTCTTTTCTCTTCCCTATGAACCTGCATTAATTATCCTCTTTGTCAAATAAAATTGGACAGAGTTTCATGGAAGAACGCAAGATAGTTCCATTTGAAAATATTTCAAGCTTCCGAAGGGAAGAACATGATCAGGATGTTCAAGTTCAAGGTACAATAATAATTGAATATATATCTACTTTTCCTAAACTATATCTTCCTTTACTTTCTCTCCGCTTTCACACAAGAAAAAGTCCAAATTATATGTAGTAGATGAATCAGGTCAGCAAAGCAGCTGCAAGGAATTCAATGAAGATACTGATCAAAATGACGAGACAAACGATTTCTCTCTCGGATTCATCAACAGCGACCCGAACGACAACTTTCTAGACGTCGACGGAAACATGGAAGTCTACTCAAGCTCTCCGAGCTTTGAGGTGGTTGAGGAAATCAAAGTTAACCATGGACTTTTCGTCTCAACCCGTCAAGTGGCAGATACATTCTTTCACCAACTCGTGCCTTGTCAAACGGTCCAAGTCCACCTAAACCCCGTATCCTTATTCGGCAACAACTTCTCGGTAGAGAAATCGGCTTCTCGAACGAGATCGGAGATCATCAGTGCTGATGATTCCATCTTCGCAAAGTTGAAGGCATTTGGGACCAAGTCAATGAAGACATGGTGGACAATAGCCAGTGCATTAATTTGCACTATTGCTTTTCTTTTGATGAATATGGTGAATATTGAGAAAATGGATATAAATGGTTTGGCTTCAAGGACTACTTCTAGAGTACTTGAAGGGAATCATGATCAAAAGGGTTGCACTAATATTGTTCTTTGTAGGCACAAGGAAGAAAAGGTTTCGGCTGTGAACATAAGAGGTGTGTTTTTGAAGAAAATGGGGATTTTTCTCACCATTTCATTTGCTCTTTGTTCCATGTGGGCAAACCACAATATGACTTATTGCTGATTCTGTTTAGTTTCCACACCAATGTGTATTTTTCATATATTTTTTTTTTAATGTTTTCATACAACATTAGTGTTAACTTGGGGAGGTCATAACTCGGCCTTTTCCATGACATGACATAGACGTTTCGTGACATAATTGTACTTTGTAATT